CTTTTCTTTATGACGTTTATAGTCCTTGGTCTTACTCCTAGATCCATGATCCACCTTGAGTTGGTTTTTGTGTATGGAGTGAGGTGTGGATCTTTCTTGAGTCTTCTGCAGATATTTTTCCAATTTTGCCAGCACCATTTGTTAAAAAGGGTGTCGTTTCCCTACTTAACTAATTTCATTTCCTTGTCAAAAATCAGTTGACCATATGTAGATGGGCTGATTTCTGGGTTCTCAATTCTATTCCATAGATCTATGTGTCTGTCATTGTACCATTACCATGCTGTCTTAACCACCATGCTGGCCATTGATTTTGACTCTGCCATGTGGAGGATAATGTATATGCAAGAAGGGTATGCCATCTATCCATAGGCAGCTGGCTAATCTCACCAATTAAAAAACGGATTGGTTGGTTTCACCGATAAATTAAGCGGATTCAGCACAGTGTTAGAGGACACCTTACTTCCTTTCAGCAAAGAACAAGCGAGAGAATGCAATTTGTACTTTGGGACCAGGTAAACAGCTAAACCAGCCACAGCAGAAAACCAGAGAGCTGACATGAGCTAGAGTAGACCTTGGTGGTGAGGAGAGCCAATATGACAGGACTAAGAACTTTGTAACATTGGAATAAAACCATGAGGTTTAAGACTGAGGTGCCTGCCGGCACATTTTGGAAGCTGTCCTGATTGTATTCTGCAGTTAACCTGAGTTGTAACCTTTTGAATTCCCCAGCATAGTTCTGTGTGGTTTGTGAGCTATCGCATCAGATTTTGGTCCCAGTAAATCAGTAAGATTGATATTGAGATGAATATAAAGAGGTGTGGTAGTGTTGGGGACATAACTGACTTCATGGGAATTGGCTTTGTGTTGTTCATGCTGTTGAGAGGGACAGTTCCCCTTTGTGAAGTTAGTCAAGGCTGTCTCCAGATATGGTCCTTACGCTTTACAATTCTATATGTGTTATGTAATGCTCCTATAACAGATTTCTTAAGTGGATGGTGTTCATAAACAGGTTTATTCTTTTAAGGTTTAGGAGGGTAACCATTAATATTCAGAGTGTCTGCTCTATGGGAAGGCTTATTCATTATTTTTCTTTGTCAGTTGTGGAGGAAAGTTCTTGTTTTTCTTTTTCTTCCCCTCCCCTCATCTTTTCTTTATTGGGTTGTATAAAATCATGCATGTATATTGTGTTTTATACAATTGTTTA